CTTGCGATTAAGCCTCGCGTTCCCCGGAATTGGCTAAATGACTCGACAGTCGCGGCGCTTCGTCGTCGCATTTTTCGCAAAATGCGCATTTGAACTCGCGAATTTTTACTTTCCGACGAAGCGGAAAAATTTGACGGCGAGTTTCGTCGAATAGGGGAAATTGGGACTAGTTGGCTACAGAAGCAAGTTGACATATCGCTTATATTTCGACTATTTTTTAACAAATTACGCGGTCAAACAAATGAAGAGTGCAAAACCATCTTTGATATATATGATGTAAGTTGCATTTCATTATGCAACGGTTATGAAATGATAACGTTGAATTGCATTTTTAGCAGTGGAAGTAAAATCTCACTATCTCGTATATTCATTTGTATTGTTGGTAAAAATTTTATGTTAGTTCTTATCACAGTGTGAAAATATATTTAGTTGATTACATTTTAATAAATTTTTTAACGATATATATATTTATATCATGCTTTATGTATATAACTCGAAAGAATTGATTGGTTTTCAGGTAGATCGGCAGAAAAAAATATTTAATATTTTTCATAAAGAAATTAATATCAAGAAATATTTATAAAAGATATACATTAATCTATTTATTTAATATATATAATAAAAATTATAGATCAACAACATTAGTCTAAGTTGATGAATCTAGTTACCACATAATAGCAGTATTAATGAAATAAATACGCCATATCATCCTTTTAATATAATTTGAAGTATATAATATAATAAAAATAAAGTTGAATTAATTTCATATGCTTATGATTAATTCCTTTGCTGTCAGGCAAAAAAGAACATTTTGTGTCAAAAATGTGTTGGAAAAAAGTTTTCAAAATTGCATGAAAATTTCTAATACATAGCGATTTCTAATCTGGGGCATACCCTAAATGACCATACAATTAAAAATACACGAAATATAAAAAATATAGTTAACAATCGCCACGTTTCGTGACTCTGGCAGAAAACGAGATTTAGGAGCAACTCAATAAAACATTTTTTTTTATTTTTTATATATGTCAAATATTTTTCATATTTTGGTTTATCATGATAGATGCATTGTTTCGAATTTTCAAATTATGGCATCCGATTCGAATTCAGCGATCTCAAAAACCCAAACACAATTAAATCGTAATGGTATAAATGTTTTTTGCAAAATATGTGTCATGAAATAAAAGTGATGCGATGTTTTTTCGCGCATATATGCGTCACTGATAGTGAAGGAGTTAATTGAATGAAGCCATATTTTTCTTGCTGGCTAATGTACCCCGTTAACGGGATAAGTTGCTACGCTTGATATCTTTCAAGATAAAAATTATTTCTTCTATAAATTTACTTTTAAACTTTTCAGTATATATTCTTTCCTCTTGCTGAAAAATTATATTTTCGAATTATACTAAAGATAAGCACAAAATGTTGTATAGAAAAGAACAAGTAAACAAGATGTAAAAAGTGTAATAGCTAATAAAAGTCAAATAACTCCGGTTATTCCTACTTTATTCCGGTATTTAGATGCGGAATAAGCGTTTCTCCGAATTTCGCTCGAGAAAACGTTGTCCCGCGAGCGTTAAACGCTACGAGGGCTGGAAATCGCTCGGAGAATTCGTCATCGGGGCGGTTTACAACGTCTCGTCGAGCTGTCACACGGCAGTGTTGCCTCTCGCCGAGACGGCGTTGCACGCTCTGCAGGGGTGCATTATAGATTATTGTCATTCTCGTTGTTGCGCAATCTACATAGTTATACGTTATCCAACTGGCGTATTCCATCGCGGCGGACGTATGCGCGCACACGTGCTCCGAATTTTGCGGTCTACATATGTTAAATTTAGCCGCGATGCACGCGATCGAAGAATCGAGTCTCCCGTCGATTCTTCATCGGCCGACGTACAAGACACGACGTGCAAACGTTCTTATCAATTATTATGACCGGCTGGATTTATCGTCGTCGGATCCCCCGTTATTTCATCATCGCCATTTCCGTCCGGCGAGAGACCGGTTGTTTTAATCGCGACGCTTCATCGCGCACAGTGTTCTCCCGGAATTCTTTCGCACTTTCGCGAAACTACAATGCCACCTGCACGTACGTAGACGCGAACGAGGTCGGTTTCGACTCTTTAAATCTCGTTCGCGATGGTTTTTGTCCACGACATGACGAGAACGCGGACCTTGTAGTCCTTAATTGGTCTTAACCGAGCCGTGCAAAAGAAACGTCCCATTTCGTCGAGGAAACTCATAGCACGTAGCTTTGAGAATACTCGAGAGAGAAAGAGAAAAGGAGGAAAAGGAGAGAAAGAGAGAGAGAAAGAGAAGGAGAGAAAGATTTTCGCTCGGCTAATTCGCAGTTGCTATTAGTGCTTAATTGGTCGTACAGCGATTTCCTTTTCGAGATTTAGTCCTTCCTCCGTCTCAACCTACTGTACAGTGGCAACAAAATTCTTGGCAAGATTGGTCAATTAACTATTAAATTTTCGTAAATCTTAGCGAAGACGTATTTTCGCATGCGTAGAAATTGAACTCAAGACAATATGATTAAAAATGTAACATTTAAAATAAATGTTTAGAAAAGCGCATATATAATTACAATGAAAAGTTATATATTATATATTATATTAATAATATATATTATAATATATATATATATATATATAATATATATTATATATTATAATAATAATATATATTATATATTATTAATATTATTAATAATATATATTATATATTATTATTATTATTATTATTATATTGTATTACAACAAACATCCGAAATGCTGATGAAATGTCAATGTTTCCTAAACATATATGCCACTACCATTGATACACTACTTTGTAATCGCAATTAGTACATGTTAATATATGTATACAGATAAAATCATAATTAATCTTGTTCATTGCTCACCAATGAATGAATAATTATCCATTCATTTCTGCATATTAATAGATATCAGCGAGATTATGAGACGGAAACGAGGTTACTGGCAAAATTTGATATCATTATAATTGGCAATAAATTAAACATGTTAGTGAGTAAAATTGAAATTTATTGAAGCAAAGTCTATTTGGTATCGGGTAAGGATTAACGTTGTGGGTCCCCGATTAAATAATACCGCTCGCGAATCACTTGACAAACAAAATACAATGCAGAATCCAGTGTAGAACATAACACGCGGGATATTTAGAACAAGAGATAACGCAGATTAAACGCCAAAGGGAAGAGACGCCTGTGAATATCGCGGTTATGATCTCACGTGTAAAATAAAGCTCGGAATAAAAATGAAATATACAAGATACAATCTTGCGCTACGCCGTATTCAGTCTGAAGCGCCGATATAAATCCGGCCGCGCGTCCAAGAGTCGTTGCCTTAACCGATAAAAATTCAAGTGCGCGCCGCAAAAATATCGAGCGGCCGCGCGAGACACGCGGGAGGAACAGCAATATCCATAAAATTTTCAGTCGCTTTTAATATACGGCCGGAATTCGGCAACGGTCTGTTTTCCAGCGGAATAAAATGTTTTTTTTTCGGCCGTGCGAGGACCGGCATGACAGACGATACTCTCCGCCGTAACTAAAATAACAGCCTTATTTCACGCGGCGAATTTCCATTTCGGCGAAAAGCCCGCGTTCTCGCGTTTCCCCGCGCGTGATTTACATCTGGCTTGCGACCAACTTCGCTCGTAATTATCCGTGTAATTCGACCGATCGAACGATACGCTCTCGAATATCGCGATATCAAGGATCCGCAATTTCGGTATTTATCCCGGCGCGCTCATAAATCCCGACGAATTACGCAAATAATGCGCGAGGTCGCTCGCCGTGACAAACACACGCTCGCACCAGGCGCGGTCATTATCGGAAACAGTAAGCTTTCCGCGGCCATATTGTGTGTCACCTCGATTCGGCCGCTGTCAATGAAAGCGCCGCTCTAAAACACAGTAAGCCGTGTAAGGCGCGAGATGTTTTCCCACCGCAGCGCGATGTTATCTCGCGGGAACGCCCGGACAAAAGCGGTCGACATCACCTGGCTCTCTCCCACCTTCTCAAAGGATCCCTCCGTTAATGTAAACGCCGGCCATCGTCCTGGCCGGGGATGAACGCAAACTTTGCGAACTCCGTATCGATACTGAATTATGTGAAGCTCGTGATCCGAATTCGCCTCGACTGAATCTCGCTCTCCCTCGATTTTCAACGATTACATTTCTTCGCCGCTCGTACTTGTTGCGCGAGGATCGCGCTCTATCTAAATGCGGCATCATACGGGATGGCTTCATTCCCGGAGGCGAAACTTTTTCAGAGGAAGATTCGTTCGCTGCATCGCCGAATTAACTCTGACTTCGGATTCCCCGTGCGGTCCTCCCTCTGAGGAAGAAGCACAAATCGTTCGGGCGACAATTAAAGTAAACCGACCTTAATGGAATTTCTCATAAGGTACTTCAAATGCTCCGTGTTGGCATTAATTATACAGGAAAGTTTCGCTTTTTCAAACGAGAGACCAGAAAATCGCTTGTTGACGCGAATTAAGAATGAGACGCAGATGGCTCATATACACGTGCCAAATATTATTACACTTAGCGAAAATAATATTTACCGCGGATGTTTATTTTACAAGCGCGAACGTTTATCTGCATAAATCTCGGTGTCAACCACCGGCGCGTTTTATCTGCGCCCGAGAGCAACAAGTTAATATTTTCAGATGAAGAGATCGATTGTGTAACGTGTATTATGTTACAGATCGACCTTCCGCTTTAGAATGTGGGTATCTGAGAACTTTTGATATCCGAGTTCGCGTTTCATTCGCGTTAATTCCGACGAATTAATTAGTTCTCGAGCGTGTTCTCCGTGTTATCTCACTCATGTGGTCCAGATTAACGTACGTCTGACAGAGGTCGCGACGTGTTAATCTCGACATCGTTATCGTCGTTGGCGTTCATCTCACACGTGAACGTGTGTCCCATGGAGAAAACAGCGCTAACGGATCGTCATTTTGATTTTGCAGGAATCCGAACATCATCGATCATCATGGGAGGAATGACACCGTCTTGCCGGCCAGCAGAGAGAAGAGTCGCTTTCGCAGCTTGTCGTGGGAACAGTACGACCCGGTGCATCAGAAGTACTTGGAAATCGGTAAGTAACGCCACATTGGTCGAGTACATACTTTTCTATGTCTTTTTACGTACACCTGCGAAATGTATCTGTTATCGAAATGGAAATCGCGTGGACGAAACGAACTTGACGAAACTTAATTCCTCGATACTTCTGCAGAGCAACGAAATTAAACGGCAAATAACATCCCGATAATACAATAAAGACATGGATAACCTTCCAGAGTCTGAAATCTACACGGAATCTCGAGGATCTCCGAGCGGGCCTTTGAGTTTCCGCAGTCACTTCGCGCGCATTTCTCACAACGCGATCGTAACGGAAAGCCAAAGGCGAAAATGAAGAGAGAAATGACCAGTCGATTATTGAATTACCTCAATAAAAAATTTATAGGCATTGAACACTTCGAGAGAGAGAGAGAGAGCCGCAACGATCTATAACTCATTCTAGGCGCCCATTCGGGCCGCTCATTCCGGACGACCATTCTGGACGGCCGAGGGTTAAGCAAAACGCGTTAATTCTTCGTTCGTTCGTTGTCGGAATGAAATTAGCGGCGTCGAAAAAAAGAAAGAGAGAGAGAGAGAGAGGGAAAGAGCGAATGCAGATAGCCTGACGAAGAACGAAAGTACTCTTCAATTTCTGAGCAAATATCGAGACCTGCGCTCGCTTCTCATCTCAAGTGCAGCCACTCGGCATTCGATTCGTCTTCACTTGGCCGTGCGCATGAAGAAAGCGCTGGCAGTGCCGAGTTAGCTCGAATTAGAGCGGGTCAGATCCCGGGCGAGCTTTCATCGTTTCGTACGTGAGGGAAGAAAGAGCGGCAGATGAAGTGTCGTGCCAGGAACACGGTTTGCCACTCGTGTGTAGCTGTCCGAGGCGAGGAGACTTTCCGCGTGGTCATTTTTATTTTGAGGGCCGTGCTCGAGCACGTCGTAGATGGCGCGAGATGAGCTCTCTTTGACCTGAAAAAAAAAAAAGAAAAAGAGCGCCGCGGTTTATTCCGCAAGCTAACCATTTACGCGCGCGCGTGTACGAAAAATCGAACGCCGACATTAATTACTTTTAACCTGGCCAAACGCATTTGCGCAGTTCGTTACACGTATCAACATGCGCGCGCGCGAAAGGCCGAAAGGGTTGGCTCGTGGCTGAAAATCGTCCAGGCTGGTTATTGAATTGAAATGGTAATTGACGCAGAAGTAGAGCGTAATGTGTTTTTCCTGCGAGCGGGTATAATTTCTACATTCGTCGCGCGAGCTCTTAAGCGAATGATTATTGATGCAAACGGTCAAAAAGTTCGGCTCGATTTTTCAGTCAGGCTCACCTCTGTCGCACGGCCAATGGTAACAAATTATTCATCAGCCAATCGCCAATCGTTGTCTGCGACCCTGCATCAACGTTTTGACAGCGCGGCATTATCGGCGATGTCGTCTGTGTCATACGCATGTGACGTCACTCATTGAAAATCGAGTTGAACTTTTCGACCGGCCCGATATTTAAAACCGTACCGTTAATCGAGCGATGAATTATTCATCGCGCAATTGGCTGGGCTAATCTTTCTTTTTCTGTCTTCCGAAATAATTTAACTGACTGTTCTCCCGCGGAAATTAGTCGCCGATAATCAACACTCAATTGTCACGGTGCATATTCGAGCCGTAACTCCGAGATCGTGAAAGAATTGGACCCGACTTGGGAAGAAATTTTCATCGGGATTGCCGCCGCGAGAGACATGGCGGAAGGTGTTCGCCATTTTTCACCGGGAAGTCTGGTGAAAAATCGCGCCGAACCAATAGCCCACATTCCACGTTGCTCGAGCCGACTCGAGTCGATTCGAGTCGATTCTCTGGGATGCCCACGCGTGATCCGAGAAAAATGTGCCGTGAAAATGGAGGAAAAGGGTGGATCCTCACCCTCCCTGTGATTAATTTTTTGCGCTCTTCCCCTTCTCTTATCTGGTCTGAGTGAAGGCCTCCTGAAGGCTGGTAGGCCGCTCGCGAGGAAACAAAATTCCCGCTAAAGATATCGATATATTATATCTAACGTGGTTACAACACGAACGAAAGCGTGCGCATTTAAGATTCAGATTTATCCCCTTAAATAAATATCGTGGCCTCAGGAGTTATAATTTTCTTATCCCTCATGCTCTCGTGAATCAATCTCATCGCGTGATAAAATGGCATTCTCATCGAACACTGCCGATCTTATTGTAAAACGGCAATTTTCAAATAATGTTCACGTATAAATTTATGCATGCAACGTTTGTGTCATCAGTTTAATCCTATTATTTAATTCTATGTTTTCCACTAAATAATATTGTAATTCGCTTAAAACATTATAGTTAATTTAATTTTATAATATTCTTGATGTAATATTATCATTTCATTTATTTATTAAATTACTTATTAAATTTATTTATCAAATCATCATTCAATTCTGTTTGTTACACCGCGTGTGAAATAAGTGATAACATTTCAGGTTTTCCGGAATTGAAAGCAGACGCTCTTGGAGAAGTCTGCATGCAAGTGGTCTATTTCTTTCTTTCCCTGCAACTAATCCCCCTATCTGAATCTGGTTGCAAGTATCCGTTTGATGTGCGCGGTAGTCCCACAACGTTACGTCGAGGCGATCAGCAGGAATGTTCGTGCGCAATTGCAGAAGCGTCGAACATTGTCGGGCGAGTCTGTTTCGAATTTTACGTAGCACAGCGGAGAAATTCAATAATCTTTTGTTCCTTCGATTCGGTTTAATCTTCGATTTCCGGCAACTCGGGGATGAAACGGGCGGGGCTTCCGGTCGAAGCGAAAACAGCAATCGACGGTTCGAGTGGTCGTTGTTTTACGTCCCGGCATTCCGCTTTTGTTCGCTTACCCTCTCTTACCGCAGCGCTCGCTATCTACTTCGCAATAGTTTTTCCCCCCCCCCCCCAGGGTCTACCCTTCAACCTACCGTGTAGCTGTTCCTTAACCTTGATATAAATGTACTTTACCTTAGTATCGATTACGCCGCCCGATCCCCAGGAGACGTCACCCTCAACTTATTTATGCTGTAATTCACTTTGCACGTGGTATTCTTCGGGAACTGCTCTGATGATTGGATTTATCATTAGACGGATCGTACCGTCGGATTTTCCACGCTGCACCTATTGTCCCGAACTTTTCAATATCAGAAATCCCATACGGAAGCCCTAAGATCCCTTCTTCTTTACTTTACTTCAAAGAATACGTCGCTTATTTCTTCGTTACTTTACTTCAAAGTACATTGCCTATTTCTCCGATATCTTTTTCCTCTTCCAAGTACATCCTCTATATTCTCATAATATGAAATAGAATCGCTCGCTAATAATAAAATCCAATTAGTTTCGAATTTCGAGTCTTCAAAATGCAGATTGTGATCTGAAACTTTCGGTGTCTCCATTTCTGGGTATTGAATCCCGGCGCCCAAGATAAGTAAATTACAGAACGGGACGGCGAAGTGAGCGCTACAATGAACGCCGCTTGATCCAAGAATGTCTTATTGTAGAAACGCCCGTAACGAGCCTTCAATTAAACCAACCGGACGCATCGCGCGACGAGTCTTTAATTAAAAATGGCAAAAAAAGCTGGGCAACGCGGAAAACCCTGAAATTAGAACAATCGCACGTATCATGACAGCGGAGCTTGCTGCTCGAGGCATTCCCGAACGATCTATCGCGCAAGCTCCGCTGACGCACAGCTCCGCTCGCGCGGGTTGTTACGGCCGCCATTGTTCGTAATTAAATCAGATCCCTCCGTATTTCCTTCTTTTTTTCCTCCCTTTTTTTGTCGCTGGCGCGCTGAGAGCTCGTAAAGCCACGACGAGCGCTGCGCCGAGGGTTTATATCCTGTACGTGATGAACGGTGACATTTGACACGGGTAGACGCCGTCACGTTCTCATAACGCTCGGTATAAACACCTACTATGTGTTCCATAAGATAACGTCCGGCAAACTTACATAATCTTGCGACACGCGTTCGGTCTTGAATATGGTGGGATATTTTATTAAAAATAACACGCCCTCCGGACGCGCAATTTTCTGCCGTTTTCTTTCACCGTTGCCTTTATACGATGAAAAATTCAATACGAGCGCGTGCGTCATCGGAAAATCTCTTTTAAAAAATTACGAAGAATATTAGAGTTGTGAATCGCGTTTTCGAGTACGCGATACTTTCCTCGCTTTCGAAGTGACTGGCGATTAAAATCGAAAAAGTGATTAAGCGGCCGCTCGCTCGAGCTTTTGTTCGCGTGTTCCTGAAGCCGGATGCGAACCTCCGTATAACACCCTGTATAGAAACCCAACACGTAGAGCTCGTAACGGGTTAGCGAGATGCGGCGACATGAAATAACGCGCTTAAATAGATTACGCGAAGATTACAAGGCGAGGCTGACCGGCTTTCCGCATGCGAGTTATAAGGCGACGCATTGCCGCTGATCGATCACACTCGTTCCAATATCGATTCGTGCCAATGTCGCAAAGCCAACAGCGGATCAACGATAAACTTGCGTCGGAGGTGAGATACAGCCCAAAAAGATACGTATATGTGTGTGTGTGACGGACGAAATATTTCATGATGGGATATCGTTCTAGAAAACCGATCTGCTAATAGATCTCGTTACCTCCACGGCGAAACGTAATTTAGACAATGAAGAAGTGGATTCGCCAAGCAAATTGATGTAATTCGACTTATACATTCTGAACTGTTCTCCATGTTCTCTCTCTCTCTCTGTCTCTCTGTCTTTCTCGCGAGTGCTTTGCACCTAATTCAACTATTTCAATGAATCCAACGGGACGGAAGTCAGCCCTCGGCTCCTCCGACGAACAAGCTACTCGGAGGTTGCTTTCCTTTGGGCGCTTTTCTTTTGGGGAGTCTCCTTCGCCCCTCTCCTTCTTATCCCAGGATTAAAGGCGGGATGAAACCTGGAAGGGCTTGAAGGCAGTGGCGTTCTGAGACTATCGCCGAAGTATAAAGCACTAAACAGCAAGCTCGTCCGTCGAACTTTCGAAGCCTCGC